TGTCATTATTCTACAGTCAGAGTGAGGTCCATCCTTGCAGCCAAAGCTGCCTCTGCAACTGGGCAAGTATGCTTAAAAAGATCACAATGTGAATGCAATTAAATCAGTTATAATAGATTTATACCTTTCAGGATCTTCCCAAGAATTAAAGTGTTTTGGTTTCTTTTTTTTTTTACTAGAAACACCAAAGCTGCACACTGAACAAATGCTGAATTCCATGCATTGCAGCACAGACTTTCAGGAAGAAAAATTCCCCAACAAACCACAAAATATCAACCCTGAGATTCCTAAACATTGGATATTAAGCATGAAGATACACCACACACACGGTATTATGGCTGTAACATGAAAATAAATAAATTGGTTAAAGATGAAATTACTCTTTACTAAACAAAAGCCAAACTTGTACTTCTCAAATCAAGCACATTTCTTCCAACACGGACAATAACACTCCCTGTGAACAGGGTAAGAGCACAGGAAGGAATATCACTTATTATTATCTTATAAATACAGATCCAAGATTATAAGTGATGCAGTTTAATCTCCAGATCAACACCCATATTCTAAAATAACCAGAAAAACGATGTTATTAGTATGGTGCCTGAAAACTCTGATGTTCTACACAGTTTAATGCTATAATCCCCAGTCCATGCCCTTGGTGCTTTAAGAACCAATTTCTCACGATCTCCAAAGCTAAAATGAACTGGAATTCCATTTTCCATACTGCAATTAGCTAAAGTCTAATAGGGTAGAAACTCTGGGTCAGGAGAGTTTATGTTGCCTGAGGCCACTTTCAAAGAAGTCTTATCTGTTAAACTATTGTGTTCCAATATTTCATTCCTTACAAAGCTGCTTCTTAAAAAAAAAATAAATAAGAAATAGAACATTGTTTACAGTAGATTTCTGCACAAACTGCTACACTTAGCAGCTGTAACACATCTAATTTCTGTATTTCTTGGGATCTTCCTTGTAATACAAATTGAAGTAAAAGAAAAGCCAGTAAACCTTCCCCTTAAAAAACTACCATCATTCTCATCTTCCTCAATTATAAAGGAGAGAAAAAAGTCCTCTGTTTATGCAGAAATGGCAGTAAAGAATTATCATTAAAGAACAAGCTGATCAAGGAAGAAACATAACGGCCTTCAGAAATACTTAAAATCTCAAAAACCACTTAACAGAAATGTAATAAACATAGAAAAAGGCCTCATGTATTAAATGATATAAATGTTGTGTGGACTTAAAAATGAGAAAGCCTGACTGCAACACTTTCATTCTACCAATTATTTCCAAATATCATATGAATTTAGGAAAACAATTTTCATAAATGTATGATTAAAATAATAACACAACACCAACAGAGCATCTACTTCAAGAGTTTACCAACACTAAACCAGTCACTGGCTAATTGGTCCAGTGGCACCGTGAGTAAATACAGGGTTCTGTCAGAACAACCAAGTGGCTGAATAATTCTCTGCCCTCAGCTGAAAATGTTCTTCAGTCATGGAGTCATGCTCAGTGTTCTCTAAGCAGAGAGAGATGAACTGTGGGCTGGAGTAGGTTGAAACCACCTGTATTTCACCCTTTACCAGAGATTCCACCTTTCTATTTTCCCAGTTCTGCGTGCCCAGCTTTTAAAATCAGGCACATTCTACAGGACCTGGTGAAAGAGCCATCAAATGGTTCCACTGGCAGAACAGACGAAGGGTGGAACATCTGGCAGAGGAGGGAGGATCTCATTCCAAAAATCACAAATTACACTGTTATTCACAGAAGCAAAGAAAGTTGGTTGAAACCATCTACATCTGTAGAGTGAATTATTTAAAGCTTGATTCACGTTGGAAGATTTATAATCCCCATAAAGATGGTTTATAACTGACAGCATTTGCTCAGTACTTCGTATTCAAGTGCTGCTGTATTATTTGATATTAACATAAAGAAACATTACTGTAAATAACCCATACAAGTTCAGAAATAATAAAGACTGCAACATAAAGCAGTAAGTTCTCTTGAATTAAGTATTTACTAGAAACACAGTCAGTGAGCTCTACCCTCATAAACTGTGAACTGAAATCCTCCTGCTCAACAGACACTGTAAATGAAATTAGTGTTGAATCCATTAAAGAGAAAATGGTGAGGTTTTGTCGTTTCTGGAGCTTCACACACAGTTGTGTGATGGTGTTGTGATTGCTCTCATTATTTACCTAAAACACATGAGCCAAACTACAGAAACATGGGAAATTTTTAAAGCAGTAACAGCAAGTCCTAAAGGAATGACCTATTAATTGATCATCTTTGCCTTTGGAGCAATTCCTTGGTATTAGCCAGATAAAGCATTGTCAGCACCTCACTACTTGCAAAATATCTAAGACTTGGATTTCTTACCTGAAACGAGGTTTGCAAAAATACCTACATCAGTACAAGGCCATGTGCTCCTCTGGAGGACAAGCATTAAATTCTGCATTTTTTTATAAAAATACCCCACTTTGTAAAAGTGAAAACCTTAAAAAGGAGAGCTGGCATGCAAACACACAGCTTCACTGTCCATTCTGCCTCCAGCTGCACAGCAAAGGCTGCTGCTCAGTGATACCAACGCAAAGAGGGTCTGAATTTATCTATTTTCAGAATTTTCTTACCAGGAGTGTGCATAAATGTCTTGCTCTCTGTTGGATGTGAAGTGAGCACTAGCACAACTATGAGAGGAAAACGTGTGAACAAGCATCCAGCCACCCAAAAATATTACTGATTGGAATAATAAAAATCTGACACATCAGTACTAAATGGTGTCAAAAGCTGACTAAAAAAAGGATTTTTTAAAACTGTTTCCTAATAATAATAATTAACTGTGGTGTGAGGAGACCCCACCACAGACACATTTACACACCCATTTCTCAGCTTCTGGGCTATCACAACTATTACTTTCCTAAAGCTTCACTGACATGTGGCTCTCAGTTCTGGAAAGCTTTAGCATGTGTTCAAATCTGTGCACCCCACTTAGTCTCAGGAACACAAGCTTAAAGCTTTGCTGGATTGCAACTTCACCAAGCAATACATCTCCATTTTAAAAATTAGTCAGAGTATTAGTAGCTGGAATTCTATGTCTTTTCTATTTATTTTTTCTATAGGAAATACTGAAAAAGTTGCCACTCATGAGATACAAGAACGATTTATGGGTATTAACCGGACTTTAGTGGAATACACTAACAAATTGAACTCATTTTTATGAGTTTCTCTGCTGAATTTTTATGAGCTTCCTCTTTTACATTTAGAGTAAAGAATGACTGGCACGCTAATTTTAATGTCTCTAGAATTTTTATTCATGTTTTTAGCTACTGTTCCCCAGCCTTCCAGCAGGCTTCTAGTGTTACAAACAAAATGTGGGAATAAAACCATAATTCTCCATCCTTCCCAGGTATATACACTAGGGCTAATCATCTCACAAATTCAGTCTTAGAAGGGTAGAAAAGCAGTAGGTTTTCTTTTTGTCTTTTAGTGTTTTGTTCATTGGTGTTTCACTAGTTGGTGTGAAGATCAAAAAATCAGTTTAACTGTGATTTCTCTCTCTGTTGCTCTTGGCATCCTGCCCAGGTTGAAGCCCATTTTCAAACATTTAATTAATGGCTTTAGCCAAGTACCCAAATATGAAATCTTAAAATGCTGTCTACTGAGTCAACAATCACAGAGATCCAGTTTATTGCACAAGTGCAAAACTGTTACATTAACATGTGGATTTAATAACAGGAATGTGAATACTTTAATAAATTCTGTAACGTGAATTTGCTTTGGAGTTTCAGGGTATGGAAGATTTTTGTGGCTGTGGCTTCAACAGAGCCCCAACAGCCACAAAGAGCAGTTTGACAGAAGCCATCGATCTTCACCACAGCAGGAAAATTTGGAAATGTTGTATTCCATAACTAATACAATGCAATTTTGGCTCTTGAACTTCAGGTGCTAAAAAGGCTTAAACAAGGCCAGGAATGCCGGTTCCCTGTCCGCAGTGCAGCATGGAATAGTTTCATTTCAAGGAGCAACGCAACCATGAAACATTCATGGCTGTCAAGTGCAAACAGCCTTAATTTCGGTTGTTGATCTCTTTTTTGGGCATGCTGCTAGGAGAGTAGCAGCCACACTCCCAGGCAGAAACAAAGGTTGTAGCTTTACTAAACCAGCACCCAAAGTGAACTGGTTTGCCAAGTCCAATCAAACGTGCTCTTGGTGCAGTCTGAGCACGACCCTACACACTCCTTGCCTCTGGGTTAAAGGAAGTTCCCCTCTCTGCAAGTGTCTCCAGTTGCTCTTTTTTTGCCTAACACCCCAGTTTGGGGATTTGCTGGAATACATCAGTGCTCCAGACACAAACCACCTTCTGTGTATACCCAGTTTTGTATGTCTGGCTGTCTTCCACCCTCTGCAGCAGCTCTTAGCCATGACAGTCATGGGCAGTGTCTGGCCTTTTCTGTAAAGATGGTACCAAAGCTCTGATCCATCTCAGGGGGCCTCAGGAGAAATTATCAAGGAGACTTTAAACTTGGTGCTCTGTCTCAGTTACTCTGAAAATCAGGCAACACCTCCCACCCCCCCAACAAAGCCCTTTTTCCCATACAAGAGATGGGGAGGGAGGAGCAGGATCAGAACTGTCACCATTTGGGGACCAGCTGAACACCAGAGGCACACAGTTCCAAAACTGAAAATATTTTAGTTGAAATAACCTAAATTCCTTGTTTTACTAAGAAAATATTGTTTAATCAGCATACAAATACCTAATTCAAAATTCTAAGAGGTAATTAAGAACCACCTGTATCAAATGCCAACGCGTAAAGTCACAGAAACTTGCTCTTAGTTTATGTAACACGGGTACTCCATATCCCCAAATTACTGTTTGTAGGGAACACATCTCTTGCAAAACCTGCCATTTTAACAGGATTGTAAACCCAGCACAATGTAAAGCTTTATTTACAAAATGTATTTAGAAAGTTTTAATTCTTTTAAGATACAGCACTTACCTTGTATCTCTCGCCCCCCTCTAAAGTGTCCGTTTCAGCACATTTCTGGTCAGTTGGAAAGTAAAGAAGAAAAACAGAAGTCACAAAAATGTCACAAGGATTCATTATTTTAAAAGTTACATATTCTAGTCCATCTAAGAAATTAAAGCCCTAAGAATGTTAGTTCACCTTCCTCAGTTTTTGCAGTTTTGTGATGTTAAAGTATGTTATTAGGTTAAACTCCTGAGAGTAAACTGATTCTAATACGCTCTAAGGAAATCTTTTAGCACCTTTCATATTACTACTCAAATTCTAAGACCTTCTTTGTCTTTCCAGTTACCTCTGGCAAGAAGAGCAGTGGTAACACCTTCTCCTTTTAACTCAACTACAAAACATAAGACCAGTTCCAGCTCCTTCAAGTCCACCTTGCATAATTTCTTAGAGCTGGAATGTCTTCACACTCGAAAGTTCAAGTGCAAAATATATCTAAGCAATATAACTTCACTTAATAACAGAAATATATTCTAGTTTTCTATTGATTTCAATGCAATGGAGTCTTTATAAAGAAAAGGAAACTGCTCACATGACATTTTGTCTTTTTGCTGTGACAACTCAAACATATTTGTTCCTTCATCTACATTTAATTTATTAGTATATTTTAGAGTATGTGTGTACAAATATACACATACAGACAGAGAGGATGATTTCAATACAAAACTACTGCATACTAAATTTAGAAAAGTTAAAGAAACCAGGTATTTTTAAGGCTGGAATTCATAAAATGCTGTTTCATATAACACTAATGAGGCTTTCCCGTTTTGGGTTTGAAGCCACAGGTATCAGCCTTAAAACATCCCATACATTGCCCAGCCACTCAATGCACCCTTTGTTCCCAGGGATGAATCCTACAGATTGGGTTTTTCTTCTTTTAATGGATTCCATGCCCAAAGCCTGAAGCTGATGTTGTGGTTTCCTTACGTATCAGCGACAGAGGTTAAAAATTAAACATGTAAAAAACCAACCCAAACACTCAAGAGGAAGAGGTTACAAGAGGGAAATGACAAAAAGGCCTAAAAAAAAAAAAAGAAAAAAGGCCAATGATAAAGTATATTTCCCCTTCCTTCCAATATTTATTTCATCAGTAATCCTAACATTGTTTAAATAACCGTAAACCACAACTACACATATTCCCTACCATATCATATTCCCAATATCATATTAATCAATCATTTCACCAATCATCTAATTTGACTGCTTGACTATCAAGCAAAGGCTCCAATTTATTAAACATTTTACACATCTAAAAACTAATTTTGTCTGAATATCCAGGTATTAACCTCCACTTTTGAAGCTTTTTTATACTAACTCATTCAACAGAATCCCACAGATAAAAAAGGTACATATTAAGGTGGTTTTCATGTTACTGGATGACTGCTTCTAAAAATTCATCAGCATCATTAAGTTGTTTTCTACACTTCTCTAAATACTGCCAAATCCTGAAAGCTGCTCTGCACTTCCAGTAACATACCAGGGACCTTCAGCTTCCAGATGTGTTTATTTGCTTAGTAACCCCTGTCATTACCATACAGCCCTCTGTCAAGTTTTAAACAGAAGTTATACCACAAAAAAAAAAAAATCACAATTTTCCCTAACTAATTACACCGGAAAGAAAACTTCAGAAAGGAACAAGATAAAAAGGCAAACATTAAGGGAATAATTTTATAAAATGCCAGCATGCCTTTGTTGAGAGCTTTAAAACCTCAATTCAAAACCTGCACATTTTTCCATCATAAAGGAAAAGGTGTAGTGTCAGGAAGAAGTGCAATCACCTTCCCATAAACAAGAACTTTGGGACATGCCATACTCACAGGACAGTGTAAGCTTGGTTTTTGATGTCTAAGTCTTAAATGTTTTAGACATATTGACACATGAGATTTCACGATGCTCTTTGTCGAACATGCACGAAAAGATAACTTTCTAATATTTACTTTGTGACTCAACAAATTATTCCCTTTAAATCTTAGAGGTTTTATTTCAGGTAACTGCCTGCTGCAGCCAGGAAATCGCGGTAACTGCTCTCGACTGCACTAAGATAGACCAACAGCAGTTTTCTGCACTGCACACTTGGACACCAATTCAAACCCACGTAAATGGAATAAAGGCAAAGGCAGAAAGGACGGCACTGCAGCACAGCTCTGCACCTTGTTCTGCACCCCGAAGGACGTCAGTGCCACGAGTGCCACCCGAGTGCTGTGGCCCTGGGATGCCGATCTGGGTACAGGGGCTGCGGATACACGTGTGAACGGAGCTGATGAGACAGTCGCACAATCAGCAAGGTTGGAAGAGACCTTTTAAGATCATCCAGTTCAACCACCACCGCAGCGCTGCCACCGTGACCCCTAAACCGCTGAACCACCTCACGCAGCGCCAGATCCTCCTCAGCACCTCCAGGGATGGTGACTCCACCGCCTCCCCGGGCAACCTGTCCCCGTGCCCGACCGCTCTAAAATGGATTAACCAAGTGCCACCCAAACCCCGCGTGTCACGGGCAACACACCGAGCCGGTAACAGCCGCTGCTCCTCCCGCAGCTCGGTGACCCCGCGCCGGGTCACGGCGGGCAGAGCTTTCCCCTCACGGCTCCGGACAGGGCGCTCCCATCGCGGGGCTCGGGCCGTGCCCGCAGTGCCGCCCCGCTGCCCCGGGAGCGTGAGCTCCTCCCCAGCAAATACCGACAGAACCACGGGGCACATCCCCCGCGGCCGGGCCGGGGCAGCCGCGTCCCAGGGCGCGGTGCGGGCGCTGCGGGAACCGCAGCCCCACCTGCGCGGGGCCCAGAGCGGCCGCCGGAGCGGCGGGGCCGCCCCATCACCACCCCCGCGCCCCCACAGGGCCCCTGCCCACCCCGGTGCTCCCTCAGAGGCGCAGCCCACCCCGGGGCAGGGCGGCGGGGCAGCTCCCGCCCGGAGACCCCGCCAGCCCGGCCCAGCCCGGCCCGGCCCAGCCCAGTCCGGTTCGGTGCGGTCCGATCCGCGGCCCCGCAGCCGCCCGTGAGGAGCGGCCGCCGCGCGGAGCCGCCCCGGCGGTGCCCCCGACCCGCCCCGGCTCACCCCGGCCTGGCGCGGCCGCGGCCATGTCCGTGCCCATGTTCCTCTCGCGAGCGCTGCGCCGGCACCGCCCCTCCCGCGGGGGCCGCGCGCGGGGGCGCTCGCGTGTGGGAGGCGGGGGGCGGGCGAGGGGGCGGGGCCGAACACCCGAACACCCGAAGATCCGAACCCGAACACCCGAAGATCCGAACACCCGAACACCCGAACATCCGGGCACTCGCGCCCCTCACAGGGGGCCGGGGGTTTCTGGGTGTGCCGTGAGGGGAGCGGGATCGCGGAGTGAGGACTGTGACCCAACAGCACCTTGTCAGCCGCACCGTGGCACTGAGTGCCTTAAACACCGCCAGGGACGGTGACTTCACCACCACCCCGGGTAGCCCTTTCCAGTGTCTGATCACCCCTTTTGTGAAAAAATTCCTCCCAGTGTCCAGCCTAAACCTCCTTAGGCGCAGCTTGAGACCGTGTCCTCTCATGCTGTCACGAGTTCCCTGGAAGCAGAGCCCGACCTCCACCTGGCCACAGCCTCCTTGCAGGTAATCGTAGAGAGCGATGAGGGCCCCTGAGCCTCCTCCAGACCCAACACCCACAGCTCCCTCAGAGCTCCCCATCACACCTGTGCTCCACACCCTTCCCCAGATCCGTTGACTTTCTCTGGATCCGCTCCAGCCCCTCAATGTCCTTCCTGAACTGAGGGGCCCAGAACTGGACACAACACTCGAGGTGTGGCCTCACGAGTGCCCAGTGCAGGGGGACAACCCCTGGGGCCTGGTCCTGCTGCCGCACTGTTCCTCAGACAGGTATTTCTGAACCTTCTCGGCAGTCCCTCCCCTGCCGAGGATCAGGGATCAGGACCCACCGAGGGCCCGGGGCAGGCGGAGGCTGAGGGGAGGTGGGTAAATATTGCTCAGGCCTTCAGCGCTCCCCTCCAGGTGCTGCAGCCGCACGAATTTGAAATTCGAAGCAAAACTCGGGGCACGGCTTCAAATGTCGGCTGTGCAAACACTCACAAACAAGATGGGACTCATACCTCGTGCGTTTTACCTTCGGGCTTAGATGTCAGTGTCTGAGGTGACTGAACTTGATTCAGCATCAAACCAATCACGAGGAAAAAAAAAAAATCCTTCAAAGAGGTTTTGGACACCTGATGATTTACGCTTGAGAACGTGCAATAGAGAACACGGGCATTTATTCTGCAAGCAGAATATGACCGTGCACGCACACAATAATTTATTGCACGTGTTGTGCAACACAGTGCTTAGAGTAGGGAGTATCTAACAAATTGACTTTCACTAATACCGAGCCTGTCCTGTTCTGTAAGTACACTGCGTCAGGCCCGTTATTGTGCAACCTTGCTGTTTTTGGTTGGCATTTTTTTTTGCTCACAGATTAAGGACCAAGTTGCCACTTGGTGCAGTGGTCTAACACAGCTTTTTTATTAGGAAATTTGCAATTTCCTAGTGTCCAGGAGCTTGCTGGGAGACGGCGTCGTGCTGACCAAGCAAAGCAAGGTTCCCTGCTCCAAAGAGTTTTTTGGTGCATCTGTTCAGCAGTGACACCACAGGCACCAAAAAAGGTTGTGTTTTAATTTCTTATAGTTTTAAGGCAACATTGCAACGTGCTTCACTGTAAACAAATGCTTTGACATTTAAAGAATTACTACTTCAAATTGTTTTAGATGGATTGGAATGGTTATTATTTGTTTGGCTTTTTAAAACATGGTACATATCTCCTTTCTCTAGATTACAGTCAGCTAATCAGATTTTATCCAATTTCAGAACAAACTAAAAACAATGACCTGGAAACTTAGCAATGAACTATGTAAAGATCTCATTAAAACCAGTAATTTGCTCCAGATTTGCTTCTTTCCCTCTTCAAATGGAATAGTTCAGATGTGAGTCTGCTTTTAAAACCAGAATGGGAACAACCACAGATAAGTGCTCAGTTTACTGTGTCGCATCTAATCAATCAAATTAGAGTTACAAAGGAGTTAAGGTGTCCTGCTGTGCTATTACCTTACTTGGAGGCAATCCTAAAACATTGGAAATTAAGGCAGAGAAATGGATACAAATGCAGTGGATGTCTGTTGTGTCCAAACATCATTTTCTCAAACCGGCAGAAACAATACTATAAATTCAGGACAGATTGTTACATAACACAAGCAGCTATTGCTGCTTAAAAAAACAGCAGGAAAAGGTAACAGAGATGTATGTAAGTGGGTGAGGCTGATACAGTTAAACAGAGCTATGCAGTGGAACAGCTACTGGAATGCCTTTAGTTCCGTGCATTTGGCAGGGACAAGTGCATTTAACATGGTCAGAATTTGTAGAGTTATAAATGTCTTGGATGTGAATGATCCTGAGGATGGGATGTCAGATAATTATGCCAAAGAAATTATGTTAGGTTTCCCCCCTTTTTTTCAAATGCACTGAATAACAGGAATATTTGCTGTATCAATATCTGTGGAATGGTTTCTATTCACAAAGAGTTCTTTATTTTCTGTTTTCCTAAAATAACGAGACATCTCTTTGCTACAGAGAGGTGATGCTGACAAAGTCCAGTCTCCCTCTTTACTTTTTCTTCAACATGTTTGAAAAGCAGAAACATAAAAACATTATCTGTGATTTCAGGGGAGGATCACTTATAGATTGTATTTCTGTCTTATGTGAGATCTGAAATTCCATCCTTATTCCAGAAATATAGATTCCCTCTTTGCAGTGTGAATGGAATCTGAGGAAACAAGCACATACAAGAACTTTGTGTAGGAGGTGTAAATCCCCTCGATGTTACAGTGCAGCCTGGATCATTCTCCTTGTTTCAACATTGCCCATTAATTGATTAGAGGGGCACAGATGTCCATATTACAGAACACATGGAGTATTCCATGATAAGTAATACTATCAGATACTAAAAGCCTGGAAAAGAGGTATCTGAGACAAAGGTGTGTTAAAGGGTTGACCTTAAACACAGTTGGTGCTCATTTCTTGAAGGTATTTGTGCTTTTTGAAACAGCATGATGATGATATGAGCCAGTGAAACAGAAGATACAGCAAATAACTGCTTAAAAATGATTTCTTCCATAAGATCACTCTGTGGAAATTGTCCAGCTGCACACAATAGTGCTTGTCTTTTGAACACCACCTTTCCTGTCTTGGGCATGGACACGTACAACACTTCCTTCTTGTTACGGAACAGTTCAATGAGAGCCCTTGGCATTTGCCTCCAAGAATAACAGTGAACTCTAGATTCCCTTTCTTCCAGCAGACTCAGGATGAGGAATGGCAGTACAGTGGTTTGAGCTGCCAGAGCAGTGCTGCTGTGTGAAAAAATGCACCCAGCTCCCCCTCTCTTGCTTCCAAACTGGTGTCCTGCTGTTAGAAACAGGTGAACATGAGAAGCATACAATTGACACGATGTCAGTATTTTAATATGCAAACTAATCAGTTCTTTTCTTGAGGACGTTAGAAAAGAAAGGGCTTATTGCATTTCTTCCCCACCAACACGTCCATATGTGTGTTGATCAAAAGAAGACACTGTTGTCCAGTAACATTAAGAAGCTCTTGCTGTCACTCCAGCCTGGATATGGAGCTTCCCATGAACATGGAATTGCACTACTGTTGGTGCAATAACCACTGCCTCTGACTGCCTGATTATCAATAACAACTTGCTACTCCTGCTTATAAAAAGGTTGTCTTACAATGCCTATGTTCTGCAGGTCTTCCAGTCTGTTTTTCTTTTTCTGACATATAAATATCTGAAAAATATATACAAGAATCACAACAGCTTTCTGGGGAGGAAATCCAATGTCACTCAATAAAACCACATTCTGTGTAAACTCTAGTGAGGAATTTTAAAAAACATTAGCATAAATTTTCAAGTAGGTTTGTTTTTGTTTTTTTGGTTATCCTAATCTTGAGACATTGTGATTTGTAACATCCTTCCCAAGAAAGCACTTGAAGCCTGTGTCTGCTAACACAAATAGCTGGAGTACTTAGTTTAAAACAGAACCAAATTTATGCTATTTCAGAGACAAGCTTAGCACCTACTCAGATGAAGTGTATCATAGTTCCACCTCTCTCCAAATAGAAATGCCATGTAGATGAATTATATTAAACATCAGAATTTCTAGTTCTTGTTATTTATAGGCATAAGAATGTTCTGAAGCTGTTAAGTTTTTCAGTTCTGCTTTAGAATACATTGGAAATGTACCTTCATTGAAGCACTGAAAATTCATATAAATCAATTTCTGCACATTAAAAATTAAGCATTTCCCAGAATTTCTGTGAATCTGCCTTTACACCAGAGCCCCAGTGAACCAGTTGAGGTTTTCCTGTTCAGGTTGCAATTGATACATAGTGTGTGAGACTTTTTGCTCAATGTGACTGTTTATTGAATGATTAACCTCCAAGAGGTTTAATTACGCATTGTAAGAATTCAGATGCTGAGAAGAGCATTTTGGGATCCTTGTTCACTGCTCCTGATATTTTTGTTAGAAAGTGTTTCCAGTTTTTCCAGCACAGTCCTAAAAAGAACAGTTAATGTTGAAGCTCAAGAGAAGTTCCAGTGCAGGATATGACTGCAGGAGTTGCTGCTTATTAGGATATTCTGATCAGGGAAAAGCAACATGCAGAGGAAACTTTCTAGTAACACTGCAGATGTGGTTATCTTATTTTCTAGAAAGTTAAATCCCTGTTTCTTTGATATCTTAGCTTTTACAATATCTGTAATCTATGCTCTTTCATCTGATGGCATTTAAATTGTTTTTTTCATTTTTGTTTGATCCTTCCAGTGGTTTATTTTCTCTAACCCTCCCAATGGCTTCCCTGTTTTTTTTTTCCCTGGAGTACCTGTATCCCCTCTATCAGCCCATTTTGCCTGCATTAGACTTTTCTGCCTGTTTTTCCTCTCGTGTAGATGCAGCCCCACCTTTGAAGACGTGTGTTTTCCATCCCTGCAGCCTCCTCATGCCTCTTTTCTCCTCATCTGCCCGTTCCCTCGAGCAACAGGACACACGCCAGGGACTGCTGTTCTTTCATGTCTCAGCCACGGTCCTGCAGTTTTGGAGGAATTGGAGCCTTGCAGGGATGACATTGAGTTGGCAACAGGTCTGCCTGCTTACCTACCCCTAGGCTGCAGGTTTGGTTACCTGCTTCCTGTCCTTGTACTCAGCTGGGGGAGAAAAAAAGAGATGAACAAAAATTAAAAACAACAGTCTCTGCTTCTCTTTCCTCCAGGTAAAGTGTGGGTCCCCAGATATTCCTGGGCAGTCAGTGGATGTCAGTGTCCAGGTTATTAAAGCTATTCTGTTGATATATTAATTTATATGAAACAAAAATCTTCTTCACTAATGATACTCCTTGCCAAGACAGTGATGGCCTGATCAGTGGCAGAGCAGTGAAGCTGCTCCAGTTTGGAGGGTGTAGCTGGGTGTGGGCCAGGTCCAATTGTGGCTGCTGTGGGTGCTGAGGCACCTGGGAGGGGATGAAAAGTCAGGGACTGATGTGTGTGGATTTGGGCCAGGGGCTGTGGGAGAAGCAGTTGTTAACTGGGTGGTTGTAAATGTTGCTACAGTTAGACAGGGAGGGTTGGGAAGCTTTCGGGCTATCCCTTTGGGAAATGCTTTTCTAGAGAGCTGAGGGTGCATCCTGTGGTTCGGCAGAGAACCCCAGAATCTCCAGTCAATCTCTTGCTGGTGCTTAGAAACATCTTAACAAAAAAGGAGCCTGAATGATGGTGTCTGTAGTCCTATTTACTGCTACCCTGGGGAGACACTGGCAAGAAAAGGTATCATTTATCACCTTGGAGCTGGTTTAGCAGACCGTGCAAAAACCTTCTGCCTTTACTCCAGAAGGGTAGGAAAAGACCTGCTGTAATGTGAATATTTCCTCTCCTTACAAGGCATCTACAGACCACAGACTGCCTGTGTTATTATAGTTTATGATTTGTTCTCTTCATGGATATCAAAGCTGGAGTTGATGGTCAGTTTGTACTTTCAGATGATTGCTCGTTTTGTTTAAGTGAGTTCCCAGCGTAGTGTGGCTGAACTGCAGACTCGTGGCATCAAAGTGTGAGGGACTGGTAGCCCACAGTTTGTGAAAGATCCCGAACTCTTTGTCACTTGCTTCTCTTGGTCTTCAAGAGCAAGGATTTCTGAAATTTCTGGTAGTACATCAAAGCATTTGTGGAGAGGGTGTTTGCAGTGGGGATGTTTGGTATCAGTTTTGGAATGTTGGCAGCCAGCCCTTTACTTCTAATTAAATGAGAGAGAATTTCTAGCAGAGAGAGCTAGTTAATTTAATTTTAATTTTTGTCAGAATGCCCAGAGCATCGAATGAGAGTCTGATCATTGGAACATCTTTAGCACAGATTGAAAGAATTAATACAATTAATTCACTACCACCACAGGAAAAATTCTGAGATTTTGTTTATACAAATGTACCATACTCTTGCCTTTTCCATGATGCAGGTTCAATTTCTCATGTAAAGCTCAGGGCTGAGAGGCAGAAAGCACTTCCTGGGAGATGGAGGCTCTTGTAATTCCTTTTTGGAGACTGGAGAGTCCATGGGCTACTTGTCCCAGGTAGTAACTGAAACCTTTTCCCAAGGGATGCAGTTATCTTAGTGCTCATCTTGTTTTGTTTTAGAGCATTTCGAAATACAGTTATAATGAAAACTTGGCAAAAGAACAGTTTAAAATGTAAAAATAGCAAATTGTGTGGAGGCTGCTGTTCATTTTGTAAGGCAAAGCTTGTGACTTAAGAATGCTGCTTAGCAACAGATGGGGAGAATCTGAAGGTGATCACATCATCTTGCAGTCCCTGAAAATTAATTATCCGTGTTTATTCTGCCTTTGAAGTGCCATCCTTTTCATGCCCCGTTCTGCTGGTGCTGAGGGTGTGAGGTGGCTCAGCCGTGTCCCCCAGTCGTGGTGTCCCCCAGTCCTGTCACGCTGCTGCCGCAGGGATTCAGCTGCAGGGCTCTGCTCAGGCCTGTCCAGTTCTCTGTGCCACTGTACTGGACACTGTGTGTCCTGTCTGTGTGGAACCAAGGTGTCCCAGGAAGGGAGGAGGGACAGCCCCAGCCTGTGCAGTGTGTGCAGAGGTGTCTCACTCAGCTCACCCTCCTGTCTCTGCAGCACCATCCACGCCCAGCCCTTGGTGGAGCTCCTCCTCTGCAACCCCTCCTCGCGCCTCGGTCACCAAGAGTTTGTCTTTTTTCTGGCTTTCAAAGAGCACAAGGTGGTTTTTCTGTCTAAGTTCGATTTCCTTAGGAAATTACTCAGATTCCAGATTGAAAACTTTATTTGATGATATTTCTAATGAAATCTTGGCAGATTGTGGCATTTGGGAAGCTGTAAAGTTCCCATTCGATTCACGTGCCACTGCCATCATTCAGCACGCGCAGGGTAGAAGCACAAATACTGTATTATAAATTGGCAAGTAGTGTTTCATTTATTTATCTGCAGATGCTTTCCCTGTGAACCAAGACTTAATGCTGACCAAGTCATCAATCAACTTGGTGGGCCTAAAGTGTAAACATCTCATGCCCAACTGAAAAATTAATTTGCATAAATACTTAAGGAAGCAGTGATTTGCATTCATCTTTAGCTGGTTTATGCCACCAGGGACATTTGTGCCGTTCCCTGGGCGAGTTTAAACTCTTAAAATGCAGTTTTGACACAATGTAGCCCATGAATTATTTAAAACAGTTACATTTTCTTTGTTTCTTGTTGGCCCTAAAGCAAGGCACTTTCAAGGAAAAATCCTTGCTTTTCTCTTAATATAGCAGTGAGGAAACTTCAGGGTGAATTATTCAACATATTGATCAGGACCAGCAGATTATAAGACAATAAACCAACAGTTCATATGAAGTTTTTTTGTAAAGCCTATCACCATATATTGATTATGCTCATTACTTCATAAAAACACGTTTAAAGGCTTGAGTTTTCAAAGCTTTGAAGCTGCTTCCTTCCTCTTTGTATGCCTTAGGGGCATATAAATCCATTTAAACAAACAGAAAGGATAATCCTTTTTATAAAGAAAGTAGAACAGTGTTTCCCAGTGTGTAAATAGGCACTAATAAAAGTAAGGAATATTTAGTATTTAAACCTTCTGAAAGAAAGATCATCTTGGTGCCTGGTTTGTAAGAAAGATATGCTTTACATCACATGGCATAATTATTTACAGCAATGCATACAGTGGCCTTTAAGTTTTCTTGTGTTTTTTTTCTTTTCTTCCCAACTAGCATAATAATGAGTAGCAGAGACAGGTGATTTTGTGCTTTACAGAGCTCCAGAAAAATGCAGCTGGGAGAAGTGCGGCCTGTACACACATCTGCTCCATGACTCTATCTGAAGAGATTCAGGATGAAAAGTAGTATAATGAAGGTGCTGCTGCTGACTTTCAATAAATGTACATATGAGGAGCCGTGCTGCACAATCTGCCTGGACAGACTGGACAGAAAGGAGGATGCCCAGGGAAGCCTAGATGATGTGTTCCCAGGCTCCATCAGTCTGTGGATTTCTGAACCGTGTGTGGGGTGACAGCACGGACAGGTAGTGCACAGGGTGAGCTGTTGGTGGTCAGATACTGGTTCCAGTGAGGGATCTATCCTGGAGATTGTGCAGGGCCATATTAAGGTTTTTAGGCCTGGGCACTCAGGTGGATTTGTAGTTATAAAAACTGGGATAGTGTTGCTGAGCAAGTAGTCTGATACATGAGTATATTGTGGAGTGCTGTGCTTGTTACCATGAGTCCCAGCTGTGTGTGCTGTGTTTGGAAACCATTTAGATATTTCAATGCTATTTTAATATAAACGAATTAATCTTTTGTATCTATGGGAAATTCTTCAGTGTTAGCAAATATTTTTTTGCTCTCCCCATGTTAACAGATGGCTTGAAAGGCAGGGCAGATGTTGATAAACACAGTTACAGAGGTAAGTTTAACCACCGTGCTTCCCCACAGTTTCCCCTCTTCCTTGGCTAAAGTTGATTAAAGAGTTCTAATTTCTATCTCAGTCTATTTTATACAGTACTTATAAGATGCCTAGATCCTCCAACTGGCATCTACACACAACTGGGAAAAAAGCACCATCACAGAGCTGCTAATTTGAGCTTCCAAATTGAAGGTTTCGATGTTCAGTTAAGATGCAATTAGTTGAAAATGAGGCATTATGTACCAAAATCCCCATGTCAGCTTTGAAACTTAAGCTTGTGATAAAGTAAGACATTTCAGAATTGAAGTTATGGCTGCATTTTCCCTTCCTCTCCAGGCCAAACATGTGTTCATAATCCCTTTTACTTACTCATTATTTCTTAACACACAATAGTAAATTAGGTCCACATGAGCCTTTCAGATAAATAAAACCAGATCATAACTGATTTGGCCTGGGGCCCATTTTGAAATCTGCCAGTTTAAGCAGTGTGGCCCTAAAAATAAGGGTCAAGCTAATTACAGCTGCTCAGAAATCCAGATTTTCTAGGTCTGAACTGGGTCCTGCCTGCCAGCCTGGATTTCTCTGTAGTATTTGAAACTCACTCTTTGAACAAGGACTTGAACTGAGAAAGTCTAGCAGCAAAAGAGTCACTTCTTGGTTCTTGGCTCCATGTTAATCCCCAGCTTCCCTCTCTCACAGGGGAGTTTGAGATGACCCAGAAGGCAAGATTAAAGTGGCTTCTAGCCAGGTTTTGCTGGTGAGTTCATGCCCTAGGATAGGTGTCATGTGGGTCCCAAAGCTGTACTGGAGGTGGCAGAAGATGTCTGCACGTGGCCTGGGGTGAATGTGTGCATCAGTCCAAGGAATAAAGGGAAACTCAGAGGATCACCAGACACTTACTGAAATGAAGACTTTTACCTTCAACTGGTGATAAACAACAGCATATCAGAACTGAAAAAGCATATGGAAGGATAGGAGAGACAAGACTTTGAGGGGGTAAACTGATCTGTGAGTCAGTGGTGAGTTACAATTTCACACTTTGTCACCTGCTCTGTCAGCTCAGGCATATCCCTTTGCCTTTAGTTTTTTTGGCTCCCATTTGTGAGATAAAATAAATACATCACCAAGTGCAGGACAGAACTAAAGCTCTTAATTTTATAACCTAGCAAAGAGACACAGCACTCTCCTTATAGAGTCTTCGTATTTGACTAGAGGTTGTATTCCTTCAACCACAGTGGGTCAAGGTAAATGAGTTCCACTTATGTCCACAGTCATTACACAGGACAATTACTGTATTAATATAAGAAATCACCAACAAGTCCATGTGCAAGCCTACTCTGCTACTGGACAGTCCTTCTACTTCCCTCTGAACTCTGAGAGCTGCTTTGTACCTCATCTGTTTGTTAGTGCACACTGAGACATGGAGTCATGTATGGTGCTGGTACATGAAAAGAAACAAAGCAAAATACATAAAAAGGGATTAAAAAAATTATTATTAAGCCTTTATAACCTATTACAGCTTAAGATTTAATGAAAAAGTTGAAAAAGTAATTACTATACCTGTTTAAGTATTTTTAATTTTTTTTTCTTTTAAGATAAATTTGTAGTTAAGTTCATCGTTTTTAACTGTTATTAAGCAAGGTAACCATGGTCTAGAAAAAAATCTGATGATACTCTTCCCTAATCGATTGAAAGTACTTGAAAGCTTTTTTCTTTATTTATTTTTTTTCCTTATTTTTTGCATGGAAGAAACTTCATCTTTAATCTGGTTAAAATCCTTGATCCAGTTTTAGAATTTGAACTTTCAACTACTTTTACATTCAGTAAACAATCTCTCCAAAACCTCATTTATGTGCAGAATGCTTAATTCTTGAAATATCGCACTGTTCCTAAAACTGCATTTAGATAAACCTGCTCACCTTAAGATGATTAAAAAAACCAAACAAAGGCGAGGAGAAAGTTCTGACTTGCAGAAACAATCCTAGCTGGCTGTTCTGGGAATGATCTTCAGAATTAGCTCATTATTTATTCTTGGGGCACTCCACCAATTAAACAAACAGTTTTATATATAGAAAGGGGGAAGGGCTTAGCTTACTTTTCCAGGGCCATTTCCAGAGACTTGGACACTGAGGATGTGCAGGCTCACGTTACCCAGCCCAGCAGGTTCTGTGTCTGGGTGTGCATGTGCCAGTGCCCAAGTGTGATGTTACACAGCCAAGCTGATAAGGAAAGGAAATCAGAGATTCCTGGTAGGTATCAGCGGAAATTCCTCGGTTTGGGGAGTAATGAATGATTTATTCAAGCCACTAGAAATATGTCAGGGATCCCTAAGGAGGTGCTGGGGCTGACAAAAAACCCCCCAACCACTGTATTTAATATCAATGTCAGTTTAATAACTACAGTCTGGTGCTTTTTGATAGGAGATGATTAAGGTGAAAGAAAAAAGAAATAACACTGAGGGACAGAGAACCCTGGAAATGAAAGGCATTTATTTACAGAGGGAAGCTCTTACAAACAAATACAAGGTAAAAAGCAAGCTGAGAGAATAGTATCCATTTAATCCTGATCTAACATTCCTAGGAAGACTGCTTTATAGCAGTTGTGGATCAAGATAATTTTGCTATGCTTTAAAAGAAAAATCACACC